CCAAGGTCACTGGTTCCATTGTTGTACTGCTCTAACAGTTAGGAAGATTTTTCTTGATATTCAGCCTAAATCTGCCTTCCTTTAACTTGAGCCCACTTGTTGCGTGTCCTGCACTCTGGGATGATCGAGAACAGATCCTGCCCCTCCTCGGTAGGACAGCTTTTTTAGGATTTGAAAAGTGCTATCCTATCACCCCTCAGTCTTCTTAGAGCAGAGTAGAAACATTTGTAAACAAACAGACAAACAAACCTTCCACCTAACTGTGAAATTAGTAGGCACCAGACACAGAAGAATCAACCCTCCATCATACCTGGATCTATAGCCAGGATCTATAGCCATGCCTTCAACTATCAAACTTTCACTTTTTCTTTTGCTATTGCCATGGAGGGAGGAGTGGCCACTAGAGATGAGCACAAACCAGTTCGCCCCAGTTCGTCAAGGCGGGAGCACAGGTGCTGATGCACCCCTCTCCGGCCTCCTTTGGCTCAAACAGCCCCTTACCAGGCCCGGCGTCCTAGTTTCCTCCACCTCCTCAACTGATCTTCCAGTCCTAGCAAGAGCCCAGTCTTCTCTGCTCTCCCTCCTTCTTGCCTGATCTCGCACTCAGAGAAAAGAACGGGGCAGAGAAGTCTATGTTTCTCGCTCATGACTGGGAGATTAGCCAAGGAAGAGGGGGGGAAATGGGTCTGGTGAGTGGCTGACCGGTTGACGGGGGGACGGACAAACCAGCGCAAATTGAACCAGGTTGTGTTCATCTGTAGTGTCCCACCACTCCAGGGCATTTGAATCCATTTCCATGACCTGCCGAAATGTTGTAATCCTGATTACCAAATGCTCCACATTGCTTTTTTTTTCCCCTTCTGCATCTCCATCTTTACTCCTTCTCTGTCTTGCCTTTCAGACTGTCAGCCCATCTCCAGGGGCCGTGTCCTTTCTGATACCTGCAAGCCACTCCGAGAGCTTTTTGGGCAGAAGAGCAGGAGAAAACTGTGGCAAATATATATATTAAAATGGAGGATTAGTGCTTCGCCCAAACTTGGTGCCATTCGGCGGTTCTCCCAGTCTCCTCCTCCTTCCCCGCTTAAGAAGCCGACGGAGCTGAGATGAAATTTATGCCCGAGAAACTAGGCCTTTAGTGGTTCTCTTTTCATAAAAGTTTTGCCATTTCTTGCAGCTGTCCCCACGCAATTCCATCCTCCTTACAGGAGACCTTTTGTAAGTTTATCAGGCATGTGACACAGGCCATGGGCTGACTATATATATTTTTTTCTCAATGGTCTATAAATATCTCTTCAAAGACCCATCCAAACATCCTCTGACGCCTGTCAAAGTTTATCTCCCCATGACCCACAGCTCCAGCTGATATCAATAGCACTCCTGTGACGCTCATGAGGAAGGTGTTATCAACTGGTTCGGAGCAGGACAGAGAACATGAGATGTTGTCAGGGCTAAGAGCAGAGAACTGGAGGCAACTGAGTCTATAAAAAGAGTGCCAAATTATATTTTTAAACTCCTTCCAAAGGAAAGCCCCAAAGACACATATCTAGTTCTGCGTTTGATCTATAATTATGTGCCATTAACTCAATTCTGACATATAGCCACACTTTTCACGGTTTTTCCAGATAGAGAATACTCAGAGGCAGTACCCCACTCCCTTCTTCTGGAGACACCACGGGACTGCTGTGCAGCTGGCCCAAGGCCACCCAGGCTGGCTCTTCTCCCTGGAGGTCCACGTGGGGGAATCGAACTCCCAACTCTTTGGCTCTGCAGCCGGAGACCAAAATCATTGAGCTATCCAGCCAGATAGTCCATCTATAGTTCAGACAATAAAACGTTCAGCCCAGAAACTCACCTCCATGGCCTCCAATATGCTTCCAAGTTCAACTGAAGATGTTCAGGTTGATTTTAAAAGCTCTAAATGGCTTAGGGCCCAAATACTGTGGTGCCCTGTGCAGCTGGCCCAAGGCCACGCAATGAAATCACTTTGCGACGCATTTTTTGCGATCGCAAAAGTGATCGCTTTGCGATGTTCCCTATGGGGGAATTTCGCTTTGCGATGATCAGTTCCCTGCTTCGGGCACCGAGCATCACAAAGCAACGATTTTCCAACAGCTGATTGGTGGTTTCAAAATGGCCACCGGGTAAACAAAATAGCTGCCCGCTGTTTGCTGGGACAGATTCCTCGCTCTACAGCCACCGAAAATGGCCGCACTATGGAGGATCTTCGCTGAACGGTGAGTTTCCAGCCCATAGGAACACATTGAAGGGGTTTAAATGTGTTTCTATGGGCTTTTTTATTTCGCATTGCGACGTTTTCATTCTGCAGCGATTTTTGCAGAACGAATTAACGTCGCAATGCGAGGCACCACTGTAACTATAAGACCAATCACCCATCTATGTGCCTGTCCTGAATCTGAGATCCTGAATGGAGATATTGTTGTGTGCGCCTCCCCACATCGTGAGAGGCTAGGTTGAGGAATATACAAAACAAGGCTTCATCTGTAGCATTACTTCAGTGCAAAGTTCCCTCCCGAGGGAAGTGAGACTGTTTCCACCTCTAATTTGTTTCCAACAGCCAGCTTAAAAAAAAACATGTTGTTTCCTGGGTTGGTTTCTAAACTGGCTTTTAGAGAACGCTTCGGAACGGCTTCTAAAGACTGGTTTCAATCTGTTCTTTAAGCAATTTTCCATTCTACCTACTGCAAATTTCTTTGAGAGTCCTGGTGGACTGAAAGTTGGTTAAACAAATATTTCTAATAAATAAATAAATACAATGAATATTTCTTTTGGAATTCTAAAAGAACAGCCCCTGCCAGAACGACAAGTGGGCAGAGTGGCACCTTGTCCTGGAAAGAAACAATATATTTTTAAAGCTCTGCAGTAAAGTCTAAAGGAAAAAAAGCAAACAACAACAATAATAACACTTGTTTCTAGCACCCAAATTCAGAAGCTCAACTCAGAAGGGAGAAAGGAGCTTGACAGGGTTGGGAGAGTATGTTGTTATCCTTGCTAATTAAAAAATCCCAGTATCTGAACTTTGTGGCCTCGGGTTATATTTTCACACTGAGTACCAGACTGGTGTTACTCCTAATGTGTGAACTTGGAAGGGAGAATCACAGTTCAATTCTCTCTAAAACTGCAAAGGCTCCTCACCGGAAGCAACTTACAATCCAGTACAGTGGTGCCTCGCTAGACGATGATAATCCGTTCCACTGAAATCGCTGTTTAGCGAAATCATTGTCTAGCGAAAAGCATTTCCCCCATTGGATTGCATTGAAGCCTGTTTAATGCGTTCCAATGGGGAAGGATCGTCGTTGTCTAGTGAAGATCGGCCATAAGAAAGCCGCTTTGCGAACCGCCGATCAGCTGTTTAAATCACTGTCTTGCGAAGCTTAAGTCCTGAAAACACCCGTTTTGCGAGTGCAGAGGGAGCTGTCAAAATCGTTGTCTAGCGAAAATCGGCTTGCGAAGCAGAGACCAAACATTGTCCAGCGAAATTCCCCCATAGGAATCACTGTTTTGCGAGTCGCTATAGCGATCGCAAAAAGTCAACGTCTAGCGAAAAAACTGTCATGCAGGGTAACTGTCTAGCGAGGCACCACTGTATTACCTATCCTTTAGCAATAAATACCTGTGTCTCTTCACTATCTTAGCTGGGGCTCTTTCCTAGCATTGCTACCTGAGAGCTTTCAAGTGGAGGTTAAGGAAGATTGTGTGTATGTGTGTGTGTGCACTAAACAGGGCAAAGCACTCCCTTTTAGATTAACATATTTTGCAGGGTTGTTGTGCAAACTTTAAGTGTTGCAAACTCTGGAAAGGGCCATGGAAGTTCTAACACTTTGTACAGTAGCTAATGCAAACCAAATAGGAACATTATAAAGGGCCCATTGACAGAAACCAGCCGATTACTTGTCGGATACGATGCAGACCTGCACGATTTAGGGCCTGAAATTCACGCATATGACCTGAAATTGCAGTTAAGCGAGGCAGCCTGCGCGTACACAAAACACACACACAAACTCATCAGCCAGAAGAACACCGAGACAGATATGGACACCCAACTCAAGAACAGGAAAGGCATGTTAGCTTAGACTAGAGCCATATCTGGAACTTACCTGCTGCTGGCTCTGTTCCTCGAGATTCAGCTTGACTTCGAGAGATTGCCGCGCTTCCAGGAAGGCTTTGCGGTGCTTCCGGTCCGCCATGTAGTAGGACATGATGCCCACACAGATGGTACACAGGTAGATGGCCACATTGGACAAGATCTTGAAAGGGAGAAGGGGGAAGGGGAAAAACGAGGTTCATCAGTCTACAGAAGTCGGAAAGCAAAGAAGACACGGGATCATAAACCTATTTCCTCATCCATGTGAGAGGTCCCACCGAACACTGACAGAACTGGAAAAGCCACTTTTCCGGTGATCATGATAGGCTGAATCCGTCCATCACTGAATCATACTAGGAGAAGGCTGTGGGTCCCATCTGAACAGACATCACAAAATGATGGGCCATCAACATTTCATTTTGGTTTGGTTTGGCTATTACAGTGGTGCCTCGCTAGACGATGATAATCCGTTCCACTGAAATCGCTGTTTAGCGAAATCATCGTCTAGCGAAAAGCATTTCTCCCATTGGAATGCATTGAAACCTGTTCAATGCATTCCAATGGGGAAAAATCGTTGTTGTCTAACGAAGATCGGCCATAGGAAAGCCGCTTTGCGCACCGCCAATCAGCTGTTTAAATAGCTGTCTTGCGAAGCTTAGGTCCCGAAAACACCCGTGTTGCGAGCACGGAGGGAGCTGTCAAAATCGTCGTCTAGCGAAAATTGGATTGCAAAGCAGGGACCAAACATTGTCCAGCGAAATTCCCCCATAGGAATAACTGTTTTGCGAATCGCTATAGTGATTGCAAAAAGTCAATGTCTAACGAAAAAACTGTCATGCGGGGTAACTGTCTAGCGAGGCACCACTGTATTGCCAATGGCCCAGAGCAGTGCTTTGGCTCTAAAGGTGAGCGGGACACAAATTTAAGTAATAAATAACAATAAAGAAATAAATTCAGCTGTTTCTCAGTGAGGAATGGCTTCAGCTGGCTGTGATTCTCTCTCCTTATGAGGAACTCTTCCAGACTTACTCTATTATTACCACCCCACAGTGGTGGGCGATGTGAGGCCTGCCAGCTGCATGCAATTCCTAGGAGTATTTTTGCACACCCTTCACATGTGCCTCTGTAGAAAAAAGTGGGGCATTTTAAAACCAAAAAAGTAAACGAAGGTTCTGCCCATTAAAAGCCTTCAGGAACAGGAGTTTTCACTTAATGGCCCGGGGATTCCCTCACACCAAAACAAAGCAAAACTGGAAGTATTCTTCCCGGAATTGCCTGTTTATTTGTTTATTTTGGATGGCCAAATGCAGAGACTAGTGGGCTATGTATGATCTCCAGAGAGAGGTTCAAATCTGACCACAGCTCACCCATCTCTGCCATGTTGTCAGGGCAAAAAGGGCACTGATTCTGTAAAGAAGTGGCTGAATGCTGGATAGCTCAGCGGTTTAGGCATCTGGCTGTAGGGACAGAGGCTGGGGGTTCGAGTCCCCCACTGTGCTTCCTTGATAGTAGTTGGACTCAATGAACCATAGGGCCCATCCCAGTTCTAAGATTGTGACTGAAATGAGGAGGATATGCTGAATAAGGTCTCCACCCCGACAGACACATTTAGTGAAGAAGCAAGAGAGGGATTGCTCCCAGGCTGCAAAATTCCCTCCCAAAGGAGACCAGACTGAACCCATCCCTGCTGGCCTGTCACCAACAGGCAGAAATTCATTCTGTTTCGGCAAGCAATTGATTGGAGGCTGGAAAAGGAGCTGTGGATTGAATGGGGCTATACATTTATTAACACGTTTTCAACCTTTGTTTTAATTCAACAGTGCTTTAAGATTATTCAACGGTCCTTGAGCATTACGACTCTTTCATCCGGTTTTATTGGCACTGTTTTTTATTCCGTTTCTGAGAGAAAGGTGGTATAAAAGGCGACGAAATCTTGAAAGGGGCTGTAGGGGGTGAGGGTTTGGGTGGAATGTAATAAATCCAGATGTGAGTGCCAATTATCAAGCTGCCTTAATCAGGGTCACCCAGGCCACTCTTTTTAACAAATGGCAGCAAACAGATATACAAAAGTAAGCCTTGAGGAAGAACTTAAGAAGAAAAGGACCAGAATGGGTAGATCATGCTGGCTGTGGAATTCTGGGAGACGTAGTCAAGAAAAAGTAGGATTTCACATCTCTGAGAGAGAGGCAGCTTGGAAGAATATACTGTATAGAACAAAGTCATTTCCAACCACGGGGAGCAGCCCGGGCCTGATTTAGAGACAAGGAAGAAGGAGGCATGGGCCTCAGAAAGACAGAGAGAGAGAGAAATCTTAAGTGGAAGGAAGGAAGGAAGGAAGGAAGGAA